ATGATGCTAGCTTATTGGAGATAATTTAAATTGTGCTGACTGTGGGTGAAATAATACCAGCAGGAATAAATGCCTGGCATTAAATTTACCGCCTGCTATTAAAATGTATAACAAATCATAGTTTATCTATTAGTGATGACCACTTAAAAATTAGAGCTACTTTTATCACAGCTGGAAAAATAACAAGGCACTGTAATGTCTGAAATTTTCTTTCATGGTAAACATTATCTGCCTTACATTCAAACGTGTTTATCTTTTTTGCTTTGGTCTTTGGAATACATTTCAAAAATCAGTTAAGTCACTAACAGCAATAGGTATTAACCATAGCCATTAGGTCCACAGACAAAATTAGGATGTGCTTTTCTTTTTCTAGGCTTTCTTATTTCATCCCACTGCTTTCTCCATTATTATATGAAGAAAATATGCCTGCCAAATACACACTCAGAATTCCTCTGCTAACAGATACTTGTGAAAATAAAGCTTCTGAGAAGACATAAAGAGAAGAAACCGTGTGATCTAAATGTTACAAGATCCCAATATGATGTTCACTAGTCTGGAAACCTGTTGTCTTTAGTATCTTTGATCCTGGATGTATAGACTTGTTCTCAATTACAGGCCTAATAAGGAACTATCTGCATGATTTTGTTTGTGGCTTTTTAGTTTTATTTCTAATGGAAAATTACCACAAAAGTGACCTAACCACTTCTGAACCATGAAAGAGCTTCAAAAGGTTGTCGGCTCCAAATAACACTAAAGTTTAACATGTAAGAATCATTCCAATTTACTTTTTAAATTCATTGTTTCACTGCCTACTTCTAGAAAGAATTTGGAGAAACAAATGGGGAAAATGCGCATATAATATAATTTGATAAAACAAAATATTAAGTAAGAGAAAATAATTATAACAAAAGCCCAGCCTTAAATGCTTTGAGGCAGTGAAATTCAGACAAATACTTTATTAGTGCAATTTTATTAGAAGAAACAGATTTTTTTTGGTATCATAGTCTAAGGTTGATTTATCACATGGGACTATAGAAAGTTTACTAATCAAGATGAGTATGCTATAAGGTGTAAATGTCTTCAACAATTATTTTACCAAAGTTACATAAAGATCCTTCATTTGAATGTGTTACATCATTTAATATTAAAATGCAAATTAATGAATATAGTCATATAAAGAGATAAATTATTATAATTACTAGAGATAAAGATCTCTGGGAATATAGAAACAAAGGTTTTCAAAAGCCTAAAGGAATGTATCTATGTGAGGTCTCATATATGAAGTGTTGATTCACATCTTGGATTTTAAAAATATATGTACAGTAATTTGTTACATGCTGAGGAACTTAGCAGCATTGATTGAAAACATATTAATATAATTTTGTGATTGTGTTTTCTTTCCAGAAAATTATAAAACTCAAAGTGTTTCTCTTGAGGAAAAGGAGCATCGTGTTTTCTCAACACCAGTCTGAGCTGGAAGAGCCTGTGCAGGCAGAATCACCGTGTGCCTAAAAGGCACTCACCATGCACATATGCTCAGGGCTCGATAGTCTCATTGATGCCACACTTCCACATGGTAGCCATAAAGGAGATAATATAAACTCCTGCCTTGGCCATGAAAGAAACTTAGCCCGTGTTCCTTGCCTCATTGACATGATATGAAAATATATATCTAAAATTTACAAGGAAATTTTTTTAAAAATAGATTTGATAACCTACCTATGGGAAATGATTTGGAATCTTTACTGTAGGAGCCCCAGACATTCTTAAAGGCAGGATCTAAATGATATGCAAGATTCCTCCCAAGCCTCCTAATATCGTAGCCAGCTAAAAAATTTCAGTGTTCACCATCTACTCCAAAACCTCTCAGTAACTTTTTCCACTTGATGGGTGACTCTTACTTTCCGAAATTTAGGATGACTGTGCTGATGAAAAACTGATTTTAATTAAATCTTGAAAATTAAATTGGAAAAAAAAAAAAAAAAAAAAACTCTTGCTCTCATATCTTTCCAGTCACTTAGGTGTTTAGAATCAGTCATTCCTGAAATCTGTCACTTCCATTTCAATCTCCCAGGATGTTATCACCTCCTTTATGGCACCTATCTCTTGCCTGTATCACATTTATCTAGTTATATCCTCAATGATATGTCATGTGAGGTCCCATAAGTTTTTTTTCCCCCATATCTGAACTCTCAAGCACCATGGACTCAGAAGTGGACACTGGTAGTCAATCAGTGAAGGCCAGGTGACTAGAATTAAAGCTGGAGCTTCAATTATAGGATAAATCAACCTGTATATAGAAATTTGAAACTATATCGATGAGCCAAATATTTCAAAAAAAAATCCTGGAATAATCTTTTTTTCTTTTCTTTTAAGTTGGGGTCTCACTCTACAGCTCAATATGGAGTGCAGTGGTGCAATCTCAGCTCACTGCAACCTCCGCCTCCAGGACTCAAGCGATTCTCATGCCTCAGTCTCCCAAGTAGCTGGGACTATAGGTGCACACCACCACACCTGGCTAATTTTTTGTATTTTAGTAGAGACGGGGTTTCACCATGTTACCCAGGGTGGTCTCGAACTCCTGAACTCAGGCTATCCACTCACCTTGGCCTCCCAAAGTGCTGGGATTATAAGCATGATTACGAATATTTGGCCATGGCACCTGGTCAAATATTTCTTAATGACTGAAATTTTAAATGAATTACTTTTAAACAGCAAGATACCATTTTCATAAAATGTCCATTAAGCTTATAACTGGCCCCACTAGCACACATAAAATACACTGGCACAGATTTGCCTGCAAAGTGGATTGAGATTTAGTGTGCAAGGCCCCTAGGAAGTAGGGTGCAGTTACAAGTACATATTGAGAAGGAAAGTTCTGGTACATGGGTCTCTGAAAAGTCAGTCTTGAGAAAGACGTCTCAATGTGAGAGGCCAGACAGCCCAGGGAAAGCCTCAGAGAACAAGGTGCCTAAGAAAGGAAGCTGACAAAGAAAATGAAGTGACGCATGAGATAAGAAGCAATGCATCAAAAGCAAGCTTAACTCACTGCCAGCTTCCCTAAAAGTACAACTAGCTATTGGGAAGTCTGTGTTATGGAAATCAGCTCCAAACTTTCTTTGTGCAATTAAGCCTAGTTATTTGAATCTTTTAAGATATTCTCCATCTCCCTTTTCCCTCATCACAATAATACCCTGGTAAAAACAATGCCAACTGTCAATGTGCCAGATGACCAGTAAATCCTGCTCCCACATATAGCTTTAATCTGTTGTCAGTCAAAGACCCATTTCTAGACTTACTTGTAACAATTCCCTGGTGAAAGTATGAGAGCACCAGGATCATGAAGCAAATCACTTGAATTTGACAAATTTCATTCTAATTATCTGGGCAAAGAATCTCAGCTTCCACAAAGTTCTATTCTTTACATAAATAAGCACAGACGTGCAGTTAAGTTGCAATCCACCTGCCCATAGCACCTAAGCATATAATTAACTAATCAGGAAGAAATGAGGATTTGGCATAAATCACTGGTGAAAACCAACTGCTTCAATCCCCACAGCTCTCCAAAGGGGTAATACAATAAAGATGATGGCTAGGTGGATCTGATTTTACCCAACACAACCTTGCCTTTCCAAACTGCTGCAGGTGCCCTCACTGGTGTTGTGCCTCACTGGTGTTGAGTTTAGAATCATCTGGGCAACTATCATGCCTTTTTGAAGTTGCACGTGCACTTGGGAAAATATAGATACTACATACAATTGGAAGAACTTTTCAGGAAATATGGTAGGTGAATATATTTTGGGGGTCATTTTAGATTTTTGGTTATTTGCCAACATCATTACATAAGACTTATGAAAACATATTTAAGTAGATGGGGATTATAATACTAAATCCATATACATGAATTTAAATATAATTTATGTTCAAAGGAAGACTTTAAAACAGATTCAAGCTAACATCTTGTTTTAAGCATTACAAAAGTATAATGCTGCTATTAATAATTCAGTACTAATGTTTAATCAATACATAAAAATGGCCACATTTTATATAATTATATTCCTCAAGGTCTACTCATTCATTATGTAGAAACCACAGAGAAATTTTGCTCATACGTTTTATCATCCTGTATTTAATTCCAGACCAAAACCAGTGGTTGCAACTTGACTTTAACATTGTAACATGTAGTATCTCTGCTTTATTTATAATATTATTTTGTGGAAAGAACAAAACTGATATATAACTGACTTTCTTAAAAATCTTCTAAGGTGCAAAAAATAGTGTTCAATTTCTAGATACTTTTAAATTACTAATTTTTTATTATAAATTCTAAAGTACATAATAGGTAACTAAAGAATCCAGAATTAAAGAGTCAATGAAGAAACAGCTGCTTTCTTAGAGAAAGGGTGTACCTCCCTCCAAAATTAAACTTTAGCTCAATCCATTACACTGTATCTACATTTTGCCTGGTCATAGATTCCACCACAGTGTAAAGTTTTTCCTATCACCCTGTTGTTTAACTGCTGGTCTGATATTCCTGAACAAGTTGTAAAATGTACACTCTAGTAAAGTAGCTATCAAGTTCAAATTTATCTCCTGACACTTAACTCCTGAAAGGTGTAGTATTCACAGCACTGAAACACTGCTCTTGCCTATAATCAGTTGAAAGAACTAAGCACAACGTTTCCTATTTAGAGGGCTGTGCAACAGCCCACAGAAACAGCTACAGATTGCATAACGTTTCCAAAGTTTTTCCAGTACTATGTCATTTATGCGCTTGAATAGTTAAGATGTTTTTTAAATGTATTTTCAGGAGTTGATAAGAGTTTGTACACAAAGTTTCAGAAAATGAAAAATCAAAAGGCTCCCTTGGTATGCCTGAAGTTAAACTTTAAGCACTCTTGATTGCTCTTGATTAGTGGCAGAAACCCCAAATTAAGGATGAAGGGAGAAACTATTTTTCCTGACAGCCCTAGAGCCACCTGGGATGCAGCATTACTTACCTAAAGATGGGTCTTTGGAGATGTTTCTTCCTGATTGTGACATGGTCATCCATTTAAAGGTGAAGGTTTAACTTCTTCCTGGAAACCACTCCAGAAACTCCAGAGAGGAAATGTGGAAGCTTATTCTGATCTATTGTGCTGCAAGGAGTCCAGAAAGAAAAAGTAGTTTCCTCTTTCTCTTTTTGGGTGCTGGGAGAAAACTTCCCTGCTCTCTGCCAGCTGAGCAGTGTGTCCATAGAGGCCACATAAGACAGGCACGTTGGGGCACTCCCCCACAGAGCAGGGTGTGCAAAAACCACCAAGAGTCACGTTGATCCAGGCAAGAGAAGTGCACGGGACCCTCCGAAACAGAACAAAACAAACAGAAAACTTCCTGCCCCAGTGTCATCCAGGTAGAAACGCCCTAAGTTATTGCAGCCATGAGAGCTCTCCTTCCACATGCTGGTCAAGCTCCGAAAGGCTAAGTCCCTCCCTGTCTTTAAAACAGACTGTTCTGAGGCTCAACTTTTTTTCTTCAAAATAAAAGTTGTACAGCTGGTTCAGCAGCCCCATGTGAGTACCCTCTGAAAGTTTGTTCTCTTGAAATAAGAACTGTATACAAATTAATGAAGCAAGATAGGCTGGGGTTGCATGGCTGGCTCTGCTTCAGATTATAATTATTTTACAATCTTGCTTGCATTCATGCTGGCTCAAGTGTGGAGACGACTCATCATTTTTAGCACTTATAATCTAATAGCCTCCTCTTGGCTGAAGTTGAAGATGCCATATCAACTGATAGAAGCCCATGTGAAGCTGACCAGAGCTTCAAAAGTTAGAAAAACAAAAAATGCTAATTTCTACTGGTGACATTATACCCAGATGTCTGTACCCAAATGTGGCTTTCCAACTAAGAGGAAATACCTCTTGCAAAAAAGAGATGGAAACACACACACACAGCCACATGCTTTTTTAACAAAAAGTCCCTCCAAAGTGCCCGGGAGCCTATGGTTTATATATTATATGATGAAATTTGGATTTATAAAAGTAAAAGGAAAGCAAAGCAGGTATAAAAGAATTTGTGAACAACTGAAAATAAATGATATTAAAAATTGTTTTCTTTTAGAAGACAGATTTACACTGCGGGAACTCTTATTCTAGTTCCAGATAAAGGGAATACTCGTATTTTAATGTAACTTATTTTGGAGACCTTCCTGTATCTGAATCACTAACAAAGCTCCTGTTCAGTAAATAATGTCATAAGATTCCAGATCAGAGATTTGTAATAAACTAAATCATTTCAAAGCATGATTAGAATGTTTTAAATATATGCATGTAATAAGAGGGGGAAATGAGTAACGTGCATGCCTTCAGTTGAATGATCCATAAAAATAAAGATCAAATGTCACGAAGGAGGATACAATCTGTAGTTATTGGCACTCTCCAAATACTTACAGGGAGAAAGATCACCTTTTTATTTTCCTTCCTGAGGAGAGATAAGGAAGCAGAAGAGAGTTATAAGGGAATCATGGATTTTATTGAGCCGTTCTAATCCAAACTAGGAAATGTAATCAGTCTGAGAGCATTAAACTAAAAATAAAATAAATGGGTTCTAGTCCTAGTTCTATTGTAAATATGCCGGGCCATTGAGGACAAATTTCTTGACCTGTCTGAGCCCATCTTCTTCTTTGTAAAATGAAATTATAATATTAATTGAATTCTATATTTCCTTCCAGCTTTAATGGTACTATCATGTTATTTCTAAATATGATTAGTCTGCATCTTGCCAAGAAACTGTCATAGAAGTTATGACGCCTGATACTTAAAAAGCTACACTTATTATGTACCATTATAAATAAATAAGGAAGCTATAAATAAAAAGATGATTTTATACTATATATACCATATTTATACAGATATTACATAGTTATATAGTGACATCTATGCCACTGTTCTCTTTATGATCAATAAGTATCCAATGATAAATTCACATGTGTGCTATATAGCTGTTAAATACACAGACCATCTATAAACAAACTTAGATGCAGACCTTTGAAGCAGATGCTTTATTATTACCATATGCTTTGGCTTTCTTTGTATTTAGAAAAGCACATAAGTAATAACACATTGTACAGGTCTTCTGGAAGGGTTTTTGCATTTGTGGGTAGTATTCAATTTCTGTAGTCATGGTTTACCTATATTACCATTAATATAGCATAAATATTCCTCCTGAGGGACAATTCAAGAAAATAATTAGCCCATCAACTTTTAAAAATTAACTTTCATTTTGTCTTCTTTTGAAATGGAAATGTGAGACAATTTCTACATGAACACAATGGAGGGAACTCAAGACAAATACTAATAAACATCTAGCCAAGGTATAGTTCAAATGGCAAGCAAGTATGCAATATAACTTGAAGCCCAAAGGCTTGATTACCAGCTGAAGAATCTGAAAGTTGTTAATCACGGGAAATCCATAACATACTTCATTACCTTAGGTTTATATATATATTTTTTTTTTCTGTGATTACGTTAGAAAGTTTAGATTCACTTTATGGAAAGCACTATATTTAAAACCAATCTTAGATCCTATAGAGCATTCAGATGACACCAGTAAATTAAATATTCACTGGGCACAAAGAAAAATATGTATTTCTTAAATGTTTTTATTAGCTTTTTCTCAAAGAACATTTAAATTTAACGTTGGAAAAAAGTTGACTTTATCAACTTATTCAACTTTAATGTAGCATTCAATAAGACAGAAAGATTTCATGATTATTAATTAAATTACAAAAATATATTCCCTACATTAACACAACTGTAGTGTGCAAAATACTAAAATATATGCATACATAAAAGGCCAAGTCTCTTACACAATAGACTATGATTTATTATGAATAGTTTTTTTCCTGAGGGGGGGTCAGAAAAGGTGTTTTCATTTTTCCTGTTGTGGAAAAACAAAGTCAGGCTGACTTTGTCTAACACGTTCACACACATACCCTACCCAACTCAGTGCTGTTAGAAACTGTCCTAACTGGTGCTCAATAAATATGTTAATTTGCTAAAACACTCAGCTGAAACACACCAAGAATTCCATCTAACCAACTCATTTTGTGTGACAAAACGCATAGATTAACCCATGTAACCTTTCCAACCAAAAGGACCCTAAGAGTGTCGTGGTATTTTCCATTAAGCATCATGGACAAAAGGCAAGCTTTTCTTTGCCTAATTTCCTTCATTGTTATTGTCTGACTGTGTTTGTAATACACAAGCGCCAAAGCATGCAATGGCAAAAAGGTCATTTGATATTATGCCATCCCAAGCACTGGAAAATGCATGGGTCTGCAGGTTCTCAGTTTAACCATGTAAGTCTAGTCAAATAGCACGTGAGACCACATGTGTGTTCTTTTTGTTAAACAACATTTAATTCAACACAATGTTACAAGTTATATATTTTAATGAGCTTTAAATTAAGTGCAGGAGGGAAAAGAAAATGCAAGAAAGAAAGGATTAGATGGCATTTTAGGTTTTATCATGACACATATATGATATTATCTTAATTTAAAAAAAACACAACACTGCTTCTTTTACTCTTCCTTCTCTACCATTCACCAAAATTAAAGCTAGGCTTGTGTATGATTAGAGTACCTCACACACCTAAACTTCAGTTTAGTTGTTGCCAATCTTTTCTCTTTTTTTGATATATCATACATGAAAGATGAAGTGTACATGTGATCCTCTCCCAGAAAAGTTCCAAGGTCTTGCTAAAATCATGAAAAGCAAAACATGGGCATTAAATGCAAACACTACTATAGTTTTCATTTGTCATAACTAGAAATATCACATCAATAAAGTGGAACACCACTTGGTCAACTATACCATGAGATAAATGTCAGGGTGTAAATTCTTCCTCATAAACTAACCATAACTCTACCCCTTTACCTCTAGAGGAAAAACTACTGCATATAAGTGAGTCAGAGTAGAATCATTTTTGAAATAACTTAAATCTGACTTATCCTTCCAAGGTAAGTCATTCACAACTTTCAGCATTTTGTTCATTCTTTATAACACATTTCTTGCTACAAGTTTTACAACTGACTAAGAAGTAGTAGATACATGATAGAGCTGGGATTTGAACTAAGATGTCTCATTCCTAAGCCCAAGCTTTTACTCCTTAGAGTAGACTGTCATCTTGGCAAGCACTCTGTCTCTGGGGTCACTCAGGATCTTTCTGGGCTGTGTTTAACATTCTATTGGGAGAAGAAATAACTAACCACTCTAGAGAGTTTCTGTTCTTCTTCTAACCGCCTGCCCTACTCAAGTGTCATAACATCGCCAATTATGTTCCCAATACCTATAAACACCAGCCCTAGAAACACTTCCAAAGGGCCCTGATTCACTTGATACCAAGGTGAATTGAACAGGCTTATAGATTATCTCCTGCTAAGATATGAATGAAAGTTCTGTTCTATTATAAAGATCCCTAGACTAAAGTCAAAGAACATATATTTAAACCCCAGCTTTAGCGGCAAGTTTCCCTTCAACTCCCTAGTCAGTTTCCTCACTAGTCAAACTAAGAGGTTGGACCAGATGACCTCTAAGATCCTTTCCAGCTCTAAAATTCTGTGACTCTCTGACTAACCCTATGATAAAATGTCAAGTTCTTTAAATTTAGTGTCCAAGCAAGAATAAACTCTGTAGTCATTTTTAACTTTCCTTAACCACAACAAGGTCATGTATACCACTGGAATACTTTTCATCTCCATTGTCATAGGATTAAAAATACAGCACATTACTCAAACGTGAAAATAAGTTACAGCATCTTTTTTTTTTTTTTTTTATTGAGCTGTTGCTTTTTGTTGTTGTTGTTTTCCTTGTAGCTTCAACCCGGAACTACCCTCACTAAGCTCTGGAAAGTCAGGGATTAGTGTCTGTTGTATTCCCTGTACATGGTATATAAAACACGCTCACTGGTTATTTGTTAAGGGAACGAATACATGAACAAAGTGATCATTAATGCTATCGCATCATCTTTTTATATAAACACATATTCTTTTTCTAAAAACTCAGTCATATCTGTTAAATGTGTAATCTTTCATATTTCCTCCAGCCCATTGTTTTTCTTCAAGGAGACACCTGAGTTTATAAGGAAGTGGGTTTCTATGACCTTGAGGTGGCAGGAAAGAGGTGGTCTCAGCCCCAAACCTGCAGGTCCCTGATCTCCTTTGTGTCCTCTGGTCTCTGCAACTATGTCTCTTGTCTGTCTTGTCACTTGGTTTCCTGCACACATCTACAGCTAAAATTCATGGCTTCTCTGATCAATTGCCTTAGTTTGGGAACCTTGGTCATTTGTCATGGATTGAGTCAATCTCAGCCTTCCTTGCTGCTTCAATGTCCTCTAAGTCTCATCCACACCCTCCACTTGGATCTCTATTGAGGCTATTAAACCCTTGGCATCTGTCTAGGACCCCCTAGCCTCTTGCTGTGGTCACGGCAGGCTCATAACAGATAGACTGCCCCATCTCAGCTAGCTTTTGACATCCTCACAGGGCTAACAGAACTTCCTGAGCCTCCATCCCACACAGGTACTGAGGAGGACTTAGGATTGGCCACACCATACCTCCATTTCTACTCTGTCATAGCTAACTCACTAAATCACAGCAAAATCCACTCTGCTTTAGCTTTTCACTTTCAACCAAACCTGCTCCTCCTCTGGGATTTCAGCTTATAGGAAAGAAGTCCAAATACTTTGACCATTTGCACAAAACACCTTCCATTGGGGGTTCCCTTTTCTATAATTCATCAGGGCAGAAGAGATGCTTTTCCTATCCTATGAGGCAGAAAATATCTTAATTTATCTCTTGTATGCCTTTCATCCATCTATAACAGACCCAATGTTCAAGTCTACAGGCCTTGATCATGTATATCAGGTAGAGCTTCAAGGATTTGAGAAATAATTTTTGGTGTTAACAAAGTCTGGCTTTCAGAAATATTGTCTTCAAGGGGCTCAAAATTTCCATTTAGGTTTTCAAAACTGGTCCACACCTGTGCTTCTGGTCATACACATCAAAATGGAAGAGAGACAAAGATATTATCCCCATATATGATGAAGCTTTCTTACTCATTTCACTGGGTGCATAATGAGGACAGCATACCACAACATCCACGTTCTGCCTGATTCAG